TGAGGTTTTTATTAAAGTAAATAATGCAATTAAATTGATTATCTCAAAAAAAAGAACTCTCATTCTGATTTGATACTATGAGATTTTTTCTGATATCAGAAAAATAAATATCTCATTGTTGTTTATTCTTCAAAAAATTTCTGAACATACTGTACATGTATTTAAGTCAGCTTTGTTTTTGTCTGAGACTACTATAACATGGGAAGTGACCAATCTCTATGTTAATTGTTATAGCAGTCTCAGGTTTTTGTTTTGTAGTTCAATTGACTATGCATTTTAGAGCAGTTAAATATGAATTTGGATTAAATTTGAAGTTGATTCAGTATATTTTATGACATAATAACACTCTTTTATTTAAACAAAGCATTTTCAGACTTTATTTACAGACCAGCTTAGCTAATCATTCATTATTCAATCAATAATTTAATTAAAGGACTCAACAGTTGTTTGTAGGACTTATGAATTCAAATATAAGGAAAAAAATCAAAACTTGAAGTAATACATGTAATAGGAATTATGAGAACTGCATGATATCAGATTGCAATACAGCTTTTTGTTCAGTTTTCTTTGTGTTGATTATAATGTTTTAAATCCCTTTCTGGCTTTTTGGATGTTCAGATTTTTTCTCTTGATTAAGAGCGAGCAACGGAACTTGTACATCTTATATAGTTTCTTATCTCTGGGGTGGATCAAGCCAATTTTCAAAGAGGAGGGGGGCATGTATTGTCTACATTTTCTTTTTTTCCATATTGTATTTTAATGTAATGCAAAGTTAAATTCTATTGTAACACAAGTTCTGCTGACAAATGGCTGATAAACCCCTCTTGTATGTAATTATTTGGCATGAAATGAAATATGTTTTTTCTGTATATGGAAATTAGGAATAATCCATCCTCTCTTTATAAAAGACCTGGATCTGCTTAAAAGTTCTTGCTTTTCTCAGAATTTTCCATTGTTACATCAGGAATAAAGGCTACCAATAATCATGCTTGACGATCATTGAGGTCACACATAAAGAACCCATCTCTTTGCAAATCATAGAAGAAAAACAAAGATACAATGTAGTTGGTAACATAAATGTATTTAAAAATATCAAGAGAAACATTCCCATACAGAATCTCTGTCAATAAGTTATTTTTCCACTCTTAACAGTGAAATCTTAAATATGTAAATTGATCGGCAAGCCTCGCATCTTGAAAAATAAAAAGTTTGTAGGAAAGAACTATTGTTTCACAATTGATGCTGTGTTAGAATTTATAATATCACTCTTTTTTCCCCATATGATCAGCATAAAAAGTGACAAGTTCTTCAGTCTAAATAACTTTGTTAAATCTCATTTCTGATGGAACATTTTCAGTGCACCAGATGAACAACTTTCTATGTTAGATACTTATTTAAATATAAAAATTCAAGTCTAATTTTAGAGTGAAATTTTACTATATTTAAACAAACTGTTCAAAACAACCAACATGTACAAACACTGAGTTTATTTTCATATCCTTTCTAAGAATATTGATACAAAGAAAGTAAAACAAAGACTTGTATCATTCCATCTACCAAAAGGGTGTTTGAGAATATACAAATAAGTCCAAGTTTCAGAGAAAAGTCAGTTATCTATAATTTTCTTCTTTGGAAGTTTTCAAAAACCTGTTTAAGGGTACTTGAAAAAATGCCATATTCAAACATTCCATGACTATTTTAATGTTATAAGAGTAGAGGAACATTAAATATTGAATGGTTATTCAAGAAAGTGTCGAAATATAACTACAATCATTAATTTTACTCGAATTTACTGTTGTGAACTTGCAGTTTCCTACGACGCGTGTACGGAGTTATCTCCCGTTGATCTCCGCTTCGCCACGAATAAGCTGACACAATTGCGTATCCGGGGAATTTATGATCTATAATGAATATATAAGATCCAGAAAATGGTTTTACTTCATATTTTATACCCCTCCATACGTTACCAAACCCATTTAAGAAATGATTTGGGATTTTCCGTAGACCTACGCAAATTTTCCAAAAAAAAATTTCAACTTCCATCGTTGTTTTAGAATACTTTTATAACACCTTTCATAAATAAGTATACATAATAATGAAGCTTATTCACTCAAGATTTGGACCCTACAAGTTTTATTTATGTACGAGTTACAATTAGACGATACGAGGTAAAAAACCAAGAGGTGTACACGTTCACAAGAAAACGGTAAACTCTGACCTTTTATCACGTGACCAATGTCTTGAACTTAGACGCCATTAAATCGTTTGCCGTTCAACTGATTGTCTCGCTGTTTTACACGGCTAATAGTTTCATGCGATGGTAAAGACCCCTGTCTATTTCTTTGGAAAGAACGAGGGGGCTTTCCCATCGCAAGAAACATGCCTTTGTTGCTTCTTGTTGACGGTGTCACTGGTTTTGAAACGAAAAAAGCGCTGTCCATTTGTTTTTATATGTGTGTAGTTATTTTGCAAAAAAAAAAAAAAAAAACATAGAGAAAAAGTAACTGAAATTTGTCAATGATGACCACGGAGACAGAGTAGGGAATTCATAAACAAGACACATTGGTGGTCTTTGGCTGTTTTATGCTCTTTGGTCGGGTTGTTGTCTCTTTGACACATTCCCCATTTCTATTCTCAATTTTATCAAAATAAATCTGTATGACTGCTGTGGATAGTAAACTTGAAATTGATAGTAAATAGCAAATACAAGTTATTTGTAGTATATTCATGACACAGAAAAACGGGAAAATTTTGATATTTTTAGGGAAAAAATTTACGGGTATTGGAAAAAGGGCGGGGCTAAAAAATTGTCCTGTCCCCAATTACCTATGAAATGACGTGGGTTAAAGCAATTGTAGTCCACCATACGGCCTCAATGAACTATCGGAGCAAAACCATTTCCGTATAGTCATCTAAACCATGCCGGACATAACCAAATGTATAACTTGAAATTCAAAAGGAAAGCCCAACGGCATAATGAATGACAAAATAATAAACGAGAAAAAAATTACAGGCAGCAACCTTCAACTACTGAATTACATGTTCCTAGCTTTCATTAGCTAGTGGCGTACATAATCGTGCTGTGGATTGCAAGACACACATATATAAGAGCTTATCTAAAAGTGCTGAAGCATCACAAAGTAAGAATAAAATGTAGAAATCAGTTGGAAATTGCTGAACTCGTTAAGATCGACACGATACATAAAAATTCTGCAAGTCATATCATCATTGATAAGTCTAAAGATTAAATTAGTGAAAATTGTTACTGTAACAATTAAGAAAACCACACCAGTGTCATTTATCAGCCATTTTTATAGATGAAGATCAATGAATGGAAGTATGGGGCACTGAGACTGGTCAGAATGTTAATATGTATATGGTGACACTCTTAATACAGTTGCAGATCCAGACCTCTTTTTTTGGACCGATCAATGCATTTTAATGGGTACATATGGAACCCACCTATTTAAAATGGCTGGATCCGCCCCTCTAATGTGTACCTATAGATGGTTGTTCTATTTGATGCTGCACAGCCATACATTAGACTGTTAATGACGTCTTTACACTTAATCCATTGGATGTTGGATGTGTGCTTATTGATCCTCGTCTTAGATACAGATTTTTTTACAAGTTGTTATTGGCTTTGAACTAGCTGTCAGTAACTGCCAGTACTATTATATCTGTACTTGGTTTCTTTTTTGTTGTAGGGATGTATAAATACAATATGAGTTCAGCCCTAATCAACTGATTTTCATTGTTTGTTCATATATTGTACTGTTAAACCGCTGTCTCAGGTTAGAAGGAGGGTTGGGCGCTGACCAACATGTTTAAGCCCGCCACATTCTGAATGTGCCTGTCCCAAGTCAAGAGCCTGTAATTCAGTGGCTGTATATCATATTTGTATTTCGTTAATTGTGTTTTTTTTTACATAAATCAGGCTATTAGTTTTCTCTCTGGAATTGTTTTACATTTCTCATTTTGTGGCCTTTAATAACTCATTATGCAATATAGGTTTTGCTCATTGTTAAAGGCCATATGGTCACATATAGTTGTTAACTTCCATGTCATTTGCTCTCTAGTGGAAAGTTGTCTCATTGGCAATTATAAGCACATCTTATTATCTTTATATTACTAACTTATTGATGTTTAAAGAATGCAAGTCCAGACTGTATTGTATGTAAATGTTCACTGCAAAAATGAAAAGACTGAACAATGGAAAGATATATTTGTAAAAGAGGGACAAAAGATACCAGAGGGACAGTCAAACTCAGATTGAAAACAAACTGACAACGTCATGGCCAAAAATAAAAAGACAAACAGACAAATAATAGTACAGATGACACAACATAGAAAACTAAAGACTAAGCAACACGAACCCCACCAAAAACTGGGGGTGATCTCAAGTGCTCCGGAAGGGTAAGCAGATGTAAAGTTTGCTTCAAACAATATCTTCCATACATCAATTTTAAGCAAATCTGCCCAAGTTTCTTTACATTCTAGGACTGTTTGACTTGTTTTTTTATGCATAAACCCAAGAATGTAATCTTTATCATGTTTATATAAAAATTGCAAAAAAATCAGTCCCTATCAGAAAAATACAGCAACATTAAATAAAATATTTTGCACTGAATACTTTCTTTTGATTGTAGAAAAATTCTGTTAAAGATTTGAAAAAAAAATTAAGAAAGTTTCACCAAGTTATTGATGTCTAAAACAAGCTGAAATGTGTTGCCTGCTTGAATGATTTACATTATTAGCCTTAAAGATAAAAGTTTATTACAAGTTAAATATTACTAATGATCCATGACAATGAGGTCAAGGTCAGATAAACCAAGCTAGACAGACTAGTACACCTTACAATCATACCATAAACCAAATAGACATTTATAGACATTTTGTTTATAGTATCTTCGAAGAGGATCCAACATTTGAAACATTACACTGACTTATCATCCATGAACATGAGTTCAAGGGCAGATAAAACATGCCAGTCAGACATGTAAACTTTACAATCAATCCAAATGATAGCATCTTTGGTGTTCATTATATTTCATTAGGTAAATGTTGTCACTTTTTAAACAAATTGAAAACTCAACACAGTTTTAATCATTTTATAGTTCATTATAACTTGTTTGTTTTGCACCATTGAAAATATTTACAGCTTTTTCTTGTTCAATGAAGTAACTGTCATCGCTATATGAATTTCATCAATGCATCCAAATTTGATTTAGTCATCATCCACAGCAAATTGCAAAGATCATTCATAGTGCTGAATCTCCTCTCTACTCCTGCTATTGATGGTAGAATTAGCAAGCAATAGTAGTGTAATGTAATCTAAAGGGCTGGAGTTATAGCTCTGCAGAAAATTGTAAATATCAGTATCATATATATACTTCATGAATGGTTCTCTGCATCTTATTTTCCCTAAAAAGATATGACACAAGATCAGATTTATTAATTAGAGACACACATTATGTATTTGAAGAATTACTGCATGCTTTTACTCTTTTAATTGCTTGGAATTTGACTATATGGAGCATTAGGTTTAGACTGTTAAAACTGTATATTGATATGTTCCTTTGGTTATTTTTGTAGTTGAGTTGCTGTCTCATAGGACCCCACATCTCTTCAAACAGTGTTAGCTCCATTTAATGATCTTCAAAAAGATTCATATGAAAGCTAAAATCAAAAAGGTTATTGTGTATAAATTAAGTGCTTTACTTCTTCCAATTAAAGAGAGGTGTATCAAAATGCATTGAACAAAGTTAAAACATTATATTCTTCATAAAATATGTCTAAATAAAAAAGTTAAAGACTTAAATTATATTAAATGTTTTTATGGAAACTTAAGACAGGACCATATGTATATACATTAATTTCTTAAAGCCTTACAATTTCAGCTTTTAAAATCTTAGGGCATGGAAAGTCTCCTGTCCTTTGACAAATGAAATTATTCTCCTTCAGTTGTTCTTTGACAAATGAAATTATTCTCCTTTAGTTGTCCTTTGACAAATGAAACTATTCTCCTTTAGTTGTCCATCATGTCCATAGAACTGTGGTAACTTTTTGCAACTCCATCATGTTAAAAAGAAGTGCTAGAAAAATACAAGTAATGGAATTATCAAGTTATAAAATGTAGAATTTTGAGTCACAATTTATCATTATAAATGGTTAATTTTAATAAGTATACAATGAATAAGGTCTCTGTTCTAATTTGCATGGTGGCAAAATAATGAATAATAGCCCACAGCAATAATATTGATGGTAATTATAAACAAATGAAATTATATTCACTCATTGTCAAACATGGTTGTGGTTGGAACAAAAAAAAAAAAAAAAATTACATAATTACTACGGTAATATTTCTTTAATCGATAAGTTCATCATAAATATTTTGCAACTCTCTATGATCTAGAATACCAAAATATCACTAACCAGTGAGTTGTGGAATGCATGCTTGTAGAGTTCTCGAAATCTTTTTTTCCCTTGTGGTCCTACAAGAAAACCTGCTGGTCCTCACTATAATTTCTGTTGCAAAATATTAACCAAAGTTGTGACGGTCCTTTAAAAAGTTTGGTGGTCAAATCTTTGGACCACCAGTTTTTCGAGAATTCTGTGCTTGGTTACATTACATTTGATTATAAATGATTAAATCAAATGTAAATGAAATGAACTACATGTTGTTATTGAAATTCTATTGGTTATTTCAAAGTCATTTAATCAAGTATAGATTCACCATATCATTAAATTTATCAAAAAAAAGCAACATGCAGTAATTATACCGCTGTTCAAAAAATCTTCATATTCAGCACTCATCAAGTATAATGTCCACTTTGCTACATTCCATTGTTTGTTTTAATTTCTCTTCAAGATGTGCAAAATTGATCTGGAATAAATATTAAATCTTTAAATGACAAAATTGTAACTTTAAAGTAAAGGGAGTGTCAACAACAAACAGACATATCTACAAAAAGTAATGCATGTACTTGAGTTATATAAGGACGTATAACTAACAATATACGTCCTTGAGTTATATAATGCAGTTTTTTTTATTTCTCTAAAGGTAGTTTTAATAAATGAAGTATTTGAAAGTATATTTACAAATGCTCATTACTTCAGATACATGTATATTGACCTAGATTTAAAAATTTAACACATGCATAATTATATAATTTTAAACATGTTTGTACATAAATAATAACACAGTTGCTTGAATTTTAGTGATAAAAATATGATTTTTTAAAAAATATTTATACCACTATTTTTTAAAATTTTCTTCATATTTTTATCACTAAAATTCAAGCAACTGTAATAATAATAATAATCATATTAATATATACATTTAAAAATAATAATAGTGTTTTTTGGAGTTATAGAAGCTACCAGTTTGTCCTGCAGCATGTGTTTTTAGTTGTAATTTCTGTCCTGCTTTTTTAATTTTCACTCTATTAGGTCCTGATTTTTTTATGGTATTCTGACTATTTTAACATAAATAATTTGTCATCCTGCCTTATTTTGCAAATTGTCTCATCCTTCTATTTTTTTACTCAGTCATAACTCCTGTCCTGCCTTTTTTTAACAATTTCATCCTAGCCCCCCCTCCCCCCGCTAGTTGCAAAACTTTGTGCACAAGTAACGCATATAACGTTATTTTCCGTGCAGAAATCGGAGTGTGTGTTGTATAGATATAAGATATATATAACAGTCTGTAGCTCTTGATGTTACTTCCAACCGGCACCAGGCATGATGCTTTCTACTTCCTCCGTTTGTTTTTGTCTAGTGTTACCGCAAGGGAACCTCAAGTCATGAAAGTTTCCGAAAAAATCCAGCTCGCGTGTTTGCATATTTGGACACGCCTTCGCATCACAATCATTCGAACCGATTGGATCCAGACTCTACATATATGCATATGGGCGTCTGGATAATCGAGACTAGCATTTTGTATATTCTTAATTGTTGATCCTTACCAGTTGAACGGCAAACGATTTAATGGCGTCTAAGTTCAAGACATTGGTCACGTGATAAAAGGTCAGAGTTTACCGTTTTCTTGTGAACGTGTACACCTCTTGGTTTTTTACCTCGTATCGTCTAATTGTAACTCGTACATAAATAAAACTTGTAGGGTCCAAATCTTGAGTGAATAAGCTTCATTATTATGTATACTTATTTATGAAAGGTGTTATAAAAGTATTCTAAAACAACGATGGAAGTTGAAATTTTTTTTGGAAAATTTGCGTAGGTCTACGGAAAATCCCAAATCATTTCTTAAATGGGTTTGGTAACGTATGGAGGGGTATAAAATATGAAGTAAAACCATTTTCTGGATCTTATATATTCATTATAGATCATAAATTCCCCGGATACGCAATTGTGTCAGCTTATTCGTGGCGAAGCGGAGATCAACGGGAGATAACTCCGTACACGCGTCGTAGGAAACTGCAAGTTCACAACAGTAAATTCGAGTAAAATTAATGATTGTAGTTATATTTCGACACTTTCTTGAATAACCATTCAATATTTAATGTTCCTCTACTCTTATAACATTAAAATAGTCATGGAATGTTTGAATATGGCATTTTTTCAAGTACCCTTAAACAGGTTTTTGAAAACTTCCAAAGAAGAAAATTATAGATAACTGACTTTTCTCTGAAACTTGGACTTATTTGTATATTCTCAAACACCCTTTTGGTAGATGGAATGATACAAGTCTTTGTTTTACTTTCTTTGTATCAATATTCTTAGAAAGGATATGAAAATAAACTCAGTGTTTGTACATGTTGGTTGTTTTGAACAGTTTGTTTAAATATATTAAAATTTCACTCTAAAATTAGACTTGAATTTTTATATTTAAATAAGTATCTAACATAGAAAGTTGTTCATCTGGTGCACTGAAAATGTTCCATCAGAAATGAGATTTAACAAAGTTATTTAGACTGAAGAACTTGTCACTTTTTATGCTGATCATATGGGGAAAAAAGAGTGATATTATAAATTCTAACACAGCATCAATTGTGAAACAATAGTTCTTTCCTACAAACTTTTTATTTTTCAAGATGCGAGGCTTGCCGATCAATTTACATATTTAAGATTTCACTGTTAAGAGTGGAAAAATAACTTATTGACAGAGATTCTGTATGGGAATGTTTCTCTTGATATTTTTAAATACATTTATGTTACCAACTACATTGTATCTTTGTTTTTCTTCTATGATTTGCAAAGAGATGGGTTCTTTATGTGTGACCTCAATGATCGTCAAGCATGATTATTGGTAGCCTTTATTCCTGATGTAACAATGGAAAATTCTGAGAAAAGCAAGAACTTTTAAGCAGATCCAGGTCTTTTATAAAGAGAGGATGGATTATTCCTAATTTCCATATACAGAAAAAACATATTTCATTTCATGCCAAATAATTACATACAAGAGGGGTTTATCAGCCATTTGTCAGCAGAACTTGTGTTACAATAGAATTTAACTTTGCATTACATTAAAATACAATATGGAAAAAAAGAAAATGTAGACAATACATGCCCCCCTCCTCTTTGAAAATTGGCTTGATCCACCCCAGAGATAAGAAACTATATAAGATGTACAAGTTCCGTTGCTCGCTCTTAATCAAGAGAAAAAATCTGAACATCCAAAAAGCCAGAAAGGGATTTAAAACATTATAATCAACACAAAGAAAACTGAACAAAAAGCTGTATTGCAATCTGATATCATGCAGTTCTCATAATTCCTATTACATGTATTACTTCAAGTTTTGATTTTTTTCCTTATATTTGAATTCATAAGTCCTACAAACAACTGTTGAGTCCTTTAATTAAATTATTGATTGAATAATGAATGATTAGCTAAGCTGGTCTGTAAATAAAGTCTGAAAATGCTTTGTTTAAATAAAAGAGTGTTATTATGTCATAAAATATACTGAATCAACTTCAAATTTAATCCAAATTCATATTTAACTGCTCTAAAATGCATAGTCAATTGAACTACAAAACAAAAACCTGAGACTGCTATAACAATTAACATAGAGATTGGTCACTTCCCATGTTATAGTAGTCTCAGACAAAAACAAAGCTGACTTAAATACATGTACAGTATGTTCAGAAATTTTTTGAAGAATAAACAACAATGAGATATTTATTTTTCTGATATCAGAAAAAATCTCATAGTATCAAATCAGAATGAGAGTTCTTTTTATTGAGATAATCAATTTAATTGCATTATTTACTTTAATAAAAACCTCATGATAATATCTGAATTTACAGTCATGACTTAGCTTGTCAACCTCTACACTTAAAAATTTAAGGTTCCTAGGCCTAAATGTGGTTGAAATACAGACAATTTTGGTAACTTTTACAAAAAATCTCTTTTTTATGACATACCTTACAATTTCAGAATAAGCTGCATTAAGTTATATATGTATCACATATAAGAATGCTAGTTTGTATTTTAATATCATGATTATCATGATTATTGCAATAAGTTGTTATTATTCAATTAATTAAAAAAAACATCAATTATTTTTGAATTGATAGATCTGGAACTAGTACATACATTTGTTTTTTTAAACATCTATATACTATTCATTAGGGAACTTATTCAAATATATTTTGTACAAGACAGTCATGGCAGTTCACAATTACAGTGGTCATTATAAACATAATGACACAATTTATACAACCAAATTTTATTGTTGATATATGTAAACTGAAATCATTGCAGAATTTTTCTTTCAAATGATTTAATGTTTGTTAGTCACTTACTTTAAATACTTAACCTGTACTAAAATAAAGAGATGTGGTATGATTGCCAATGAGATAACAGTATAGAAACTATCCACCAAAGTCCAAATGTCTGTTAGCAGTTAAATTATAAGTCACTTTACAGACATCAACAATGAATACATTTCATTGTTATCAGGCAGATGAGGAAAAAGAGTAATGATAGCTTTTTAGCTTACTACATGTACAAGAGAATATAAGAAATATAATAATATAAATAAGGAAATAATAGAGACAAAAAAGACAGGACTTAGCCACTGGACTATATGTAAAGTGTTCCCTTACTAATCCTTAAAGGAGCTGCTGTATACTTAGAAAAAAGGATGTTGAGGACTTGGCCACATCAATCAGCATTTTTAGACACTACATTATGGTCAATTGCAATCTGCCCTATTTGCTCCAACCTCTAATGAGTATTAAAATTTATACCTAGGGTGGGAATTTAACCCATATATGTTCATTTACTCTATTGTTCTCTATGTACATACATGTACATGTACATGAAATATATCAAATGCAAAAAAATGCTGGAATGTAAATATGGTAATTTACATCATGTACATTATTACAGCCTCTTTTTTTAAGGACCTAGTAAAGGAGGTCCCTGGACCTAGCTAGTCCTATTTCTTAGGCAAGGTGTATTATATAACTCTTGAAAGTAGTTAAATGCAATTGTAAAATTAATTTTATCTGCTGTTAAACAATAATAACACGATAGTGGTTATTTCTAAGTATTAAGTAACAACAGCGTGCAATTTAGGTAAACAAACATCAATAATCTACCACGTGTTTGTCTGCTGTGCTTGAATATTCAAAACGACCCATCGGGTTTATTTACACGAATTTTTGCTAAAGCAGACAGTTAAACATGTCTGTTTACCTAATAGGTTCTATAAAAATTGCATTTGCTGTTATGACTTGTGTATGCATGGAATATAATGAACATAACATTGATTATTTACCGTAAATATTGAATACACATCATTCCTGAGCTATACACACAAAACACATGGCACTTTTGTAACGATGGATGGTAACGTATTGCCACTTTATAACAGTAAATCCCATTGGATAAGCTACCCTACACAGTACATAATATGCAAATTAATGATTGGATACGAATTTGTGTCAGCTCTCAAATCGATGGAAAAATGTAAACATTGGAATCCGCCATTTTGACATAGGAAACAAACTAATTTTGAATCTTGGATTAAAGGACATTGCGCACATTGCCAGCGTATCATGCATAACCAGTCATGTGCAAATATATCTTTTAATTAGTTTTATACACTTACTTTTCTATGTTTTAGTTAATTTAATGTTTTAATTTACTACAGAACGGAACATCGTTCTCAAAGACGCCGTAGAAAAAATTATAGGTGGCGCTGTTTGTGGGCGTAAACATTTTACATACGGGTACTTTTTTTGTCGACAAATTGACCTCTATCTGTCAGATTCAGGCGTTTGCCGTTCAACTGTACGATTACCTGTGTCCACATGACATGTCCAAAGTATTGACCATTGCTTCGGGTGAACGATTTTCTATTCTTTGTAGGAACAAATACATGTATGTGTAGAGTGGACATAAACTGCCAAGGGCCAATGTGAAATTATACTAAATCCAAAGTCACTTTATATGAAAGTCAGATTTTAAAAACCTGAGGATTTTCACACAACCAAGGACATTGTAATCAAGACTTAGTGCTTATTACAATGTATAAACATAAAATAAACATAACGATACATGTAGACTCCATAACAACTAAATATTATTATCGGCGTTCGAGCTGAAAAAAATGTTAGCCGTTCGCGGTATCTCTACACCCAGACATATGATTTTGACTGTTAAAAGAGTTGGACAGTGTTCAGTTTTAGCTGTTATTAGTAGTGCCGAGTGCTTGGCGTAAATGAATTTACTATCCCTTTGGATTAAAATATTTTTTTGAAGATACATACCATGAGAAAAAAATTTATGTTAACTTATTATCTCGAAACTGAGCGAGATCGGATGTGTCCACAAAATAAGCGTCGTCTGTTATGCATGTATTACCAGACAAGCGAATCCAGACTTTTTACAATCGGGATAGAACTCAATTGATCAAAGATCATGCTAGGAAATCGATCCAACCACT